GAGTTCTGCTGAAGGGTTCCGCACTGGGCTTGCACACTGGGTCCAATGAGGATCCGCGGGCCCCAAGCGGTCTCACTCACACACCAGGTCTGGGCTCTGGATCTACTCAGGATCTGCGGGCCCCGGGTCGTCTCACTCACTCCCCGAGCCTAGGGTCCTGGTCTATTCAGGATCCCGCGGGCCCCAGGTCGTCTCACTCACTTGCCGGGCTTGGGCTCTAGGTCTGACCCCCCCTTTTTTTCTTTTGTCCCTGGCTGTCTTTTATCCTACTGTTGCTGTGGGTCAGGGAGACCCTGGAGGGAGAACCAAAGCCCTGGGAAGTGGGGACTTCCAGGGAGCCATTCAGCAGATGCACTAGCTTGGCTCTTAGGCAGCTTTCCTGGGAGCTCCAATTCCACTTCAGCCTCCTACAGGGACTGCTTCCTAGATAGATGCTTTCTGGTCAAACTAGAAAGAAGTTACTTTCTAAAGAAAAAATAAGCAATAGGAATAGGCTGATTAAAAAAAGTACGAGTGCTTCTAATTTAATACCTTCTGCTAGAAATCTTGTAGCTACTAGAAAGTGCAAAGTGCTTTTACTCCAAATAAGCCCAGAGCTCATGGTGGTTTTCTTTTTTACATTAAAAAATATATATTTATTTTTGAGATAGGATCTCAGTACACGGCCCAGGCTAGACTTGGAAGCTCCTGGGCTCAAGTGATTCTCCTGCCTTGGCCTCTGAATAATTAGAACTACAGACAAGCATTACTGTGCCTGATTTTCTAAACCTTCAGAATTTCTGCTAAGTATTCAGAAAAGTACATGTGAATAACATTGCTGGTTTTGAAGCCTCAGGAAGGTGCAGACTATTGATCCAGGCCACCTCCTGGATCACAGAGGAAAGTAATGGGCATGTGTGTCACCCCTTAGGTGTCTCATGAGAGGGTCTGAATGGCCCAGTGTGGACTGCTACAGCGCCATTAGAAAATGAATCAGCCCTGCCGTGTATGTTATAAAAGGTGATCGGAGGCCAATCCTTTAGAAAAATAGTGATGCAACTTTATTCAGAATGTGACTTCATTTCTGTAAAAGCAAACATAATCTATAAATAAATCTATTACATATAGGTACCTACTTCATTAAAAACTGCATAAACACTTTTCCTCTGTTGAACTGTGAATTACCCATGGTGGTGAGAGTCAATCAAGTGAGAATGGCCACAGGGCAACAGGCGAAAGAGCTTTTACTTCTTAAATCATTTGCCTCTATGTTGTTTTGGATCTTGGTCATGAATACATATTTTAATAATATTTCATACAAAAATATATTTTTAATTTTTGTATCAGAAATGACTCCATATATCTGGTGGTTTGATGCTTTATTGCACAAAAAAACAAAAATAAAAAATAAATGTCAATAAGCAAATAGTACAAATGCCAAGGAACCCTCTACTGGAAGAAATCCTCTGAATTATAAAGCATCTCACACTTACAAATGTCAGCCGTCATGTATTACAGATTACAAGAAGAGATCAAAATGAAAATCCAGGGCTACTCCATGTTAGAAATCATTCTCTGTTGTTGTAGGAAGATAGAGTGGAAGGAAAATAGGACAGTTTTCAAAGTGACTGAAAATATGCAGATATTTTCACCGTAACGCTCGAGAGCTACACGGCGGCTGTGTGGTGAAACCTGGCATCCGTGCCGCCCTTGGGCTTCCTGGTTGAGAAAGCCAGACCCACACAGAGGGGCTGAAGCTGATGTGGGCAGGGGACACGGGCAAAGCAGAGCCAAGCATGGCCCCAGCGTGCTTGCAGGCCCGGGAGGTGACCCCAGGAGCAAGGCACAGACAGGGCCAGGACTTCGGAGTGGTGTCTTGTGGTCTGTTCTGTTTCAGAATAGGAAAATCATTGTAAGGGAATGAACAAGAGAAAGCATTGGTGCAGAGAGGAGAGGGGAGAGGCCACTGAGAGAGAAGGAGGTGACTTATGAGGACAGGCCTGGGGTAGAAGGACCCCGTTCAGGGTCCAGCAAGGAAGGAAGAGGGCCCTGAGGGCAGGCGCCACTCGAAGGTGGAGCACAGATGGGAGGCCGCTTGCACCAGGACTCTCAGCCTGCCAACAGGCTGCTTTCCTGTTGGAGACAGAAAGGGGTGGGGCTGGGCTTATGAAAAGACTGGGAACAGCCACTGCGGAGACATTGAATGAACTGCATTCGGAGGGAAATCGGAGCAGGATCGCCAAGGATGAGTGAAGCTGCACTGAGGTGACAGCAGGGTGGCATGGACATTTAATCAAACTAACAATCAGTGTGACTCATCATTTTCTCTGTGTGCAGCAGCCAGGCACAGGGCGACGACACTCAGCTTGGCTAGAATAGGTGGCTGCAGAGTGGGTGCGGAAGCCAAATGATTCCTGAAATAAACACTGCCTATGACAGGACATTGGCAGTGAGCAAGTGATTGCGCCACTGTATATGTCACCTTACAAATAGGATTTCCCCTTCATTTTTAGAGCCCAATCAGATAACAGTATTTCTGTGAAGGAGCGGGAACTGTACTGTACTTCATGCGTCAACCAAGACATGCCACTAGGATTTCTGAAGTCTCTTGCTTATAGCTGCTTCTTTTGCACTTTGTATTTTTAGGCTGGAAAAACTAATAACCTCCTTTCTGGAAGACCAGGACCCAGAGAGCAGGCTGGAGGTTGGCGCTGATATGCGTAAAATTCATCACTGTTTTCATCATTTAAAGGTAAATTTCAGTGTTTCCTCCCGTAGGAGCCATTTTCTGCTGCTCTCAAGCTGCAATGAAAACCTTTCTAGCTGACCCACCCTTGAAAAGTCCCGATCCAGGTCCACAGGTCCAGAAAATGGTGCGCGCCTTGGACTAAGACTGTGACTAGCCCTTTCTCTGGAGCGTGGTTCTGACTTGTCAATAAGTAGGCCCAGACTGTGGCTTTCAGTTCCTGCGCCAGGAGTCTTTACTCTCCATGCAGAATAGTTTTATGTCCGAACAGCAGGATCAGGAGAAGTGTGGCCTGCCTTTTTAAAGCAACTTTGATTTATTCTTACAACTCCCAGGTTTTTCTCAGTCTTCTATTTTACCCCACGTGGCGAGGGAGCGGGGCTAGCGCCAGCTTCTGCCTCTCTTTATTGTATCTTTGCACCCTCGGGGAGGTGCTGACCACTGGTCCCGAGTCTGCGGTGGCCCGGCAAGGGAGGCCAGCTTAGATAAATGAGTCCTGGAGAAGGTAGGTATGCAAAGAGGAATTCCTGCGTGTGGCAGGTGCCACGGTGACAGGATGAACTGAGCGCTGTGGGGTCACGGAGAAAGGGAGGGGTGTCCTGGGAGAAGGTGTCGGAGTAGTAGCTTCCCAGTTCAGAGAAAGAGATAAAGAGAGGGGAGGGGCCGTGAGGAGCGGGAGGGGAGCGCGTGGATCCCACGTAAGAGCAGCTGCAGGCAAGGCGAGGAGGCGGGGAGGCGGGAGCAGGCCTGGTGTGTGCGGGCAGTGGCCAAGGGAACGGGGGATCATCGTGAGCACTGGTCTTCCGTTTCATCTTACAGAAACTTCTGAATGACAAGACGATCCTTGGGAAGAGTACTGGCCCCTGCGAAAGCGGAAACCAAGTCCAGCAAGAAAGCTTTCGAGAGGAGGAATACAGAAAGCTGCAGGACACACTGGAGCAGAGAGACAGCGAGATCTGTATCCTTTTGGGAGCATGGGGAAACCGTCCCCTTCCTGCGTGGGGAGGGGGACAGATAGGTGTCTTCATCCTGCCTGGCCACCTCACGCTCGCCCTGCTCCTTTCCACTAAGACTACAGCATCCTTTCTGCAAGCCAGGCGCAGCGACCAGTAAAGAGGAGCTCTGAAGGCAAACTTCTCCTTACCCTTAGCCTGGCACAGTGGCTCCTCCAGAGAGCCTTGCAGCTCATGGAAACGTCCGAGCTTTGGCACACCGCCTCGGAGCAGCCCTATTTGTTGGCAGTGTATTTCTGGACTGCTCTGCGGTGCCCTGTCTGTCCCAGTCCCAAGCCCCAAAGTTCACTGGTTATCTTTAGCTAGCCAACCGGACACAGGGCTCGCCACAACCTCCCCGTGGCCCAGAACTTGGGCGGGTGTGTGGGTGAGACTCAAACGGTGGCTGAGAAATTGTAAATGGTATTTAGCTGATGAGGAGCAGAGATTAAGTTCCATGTAACATTTTTTCTTTTTTATTTATTGAAAAGCCAGCTCTATGGCTCTGGGCTCCCCTTGCAAATGTTCCTGAATTTGGAAGCAAGCGAGAGCAAGAAGAGCGCTCAGGACAGAGTCCTTCTGGGCTCCCAGGAGCCGTGTATTTTGGGTGCTGAAAGCGGTCGAGCCCGCAAGCACGCTGGGCCTCCAGCTGCAGACGGTCGGTTACTTCTGAGGAGCCCCTGCTGGGGTGGCGAGACCTCAGAACTCCCTGGTATTTCTCCAGCACTGTTTCTCATTTTATCTTTCAAGCTCCTTGTAGGACCTGACATTTTCATGACATTTGCAGCACTTAAACAGACATGAGAAATCATTTGGGCCCGCTCTTTCTAAACAGATATTTTTGCTCACTTTTTAAAATTATGACAAGGCTTTAGCGTCAGCTATTGTGCAAAAAGCAGAATAATAGTCTACGTAAAGGAAATCCAGTAACACGGAGGTACAAACAAATCAAACACCAAGTAGGCACGCTGCCTGATTAACTTCGGTCTCTAATTTTAGTTGAGTTTCAGCAGAGCCCGTGTGTCAAGTTCAAGCGAGTCCCAGTTGCTTTGGTTTCCAGCCCACAATAGTAGCCTCAGCCGCGCCCCTCCCCAGCGAGCCGTCCAGAGCACTGCCCACAGCACTGTCGCCCTTGCATTCCTTCTCCTCTCGCCAACCCCATCCATCTCCAGGGACGACCTCAGCCTGGACCCCAGTCTGAGCTTCACTTCTTTCTTGGCCTTGATCCTAGTCGAGGCTCTTCTTCCCCTAACCACTGCTATCAGCTTCTTAATTCTCCTCGTGGCTTATGACATGCTGTACACGCAGGGGGTACGATGCGATATACAGGGAGGGAACAGTCCAACCTTGTCTGTGTGTGTTTCTTTTAAAATGAAGGTGAAAGAAAGCCATGCATCCTCCCCTGCCTTCACGGTGCTGACTCTGGTAGCACCACTCACGTGGACCCACCCCTGATTCTTCACTGACTGTGAACTATTCCATCAGGGCTTCCTCCGTCTGGGGCTCAGATTCAGAAAGATGGTGTGTGAGGGCTCAGAGCAGCGAGAGCCACACTGAGCCTGACTGCATCCTGCACTGAACCCCAGCCCTCCTCTGTTCGCTCTGTGGCTGCTCAGAGTTCCTGCCCTGCGGGAGCAGGTGCATCAGACCTGTCCTGCCAACCTCCTGGGCCAGCACAGTGTGTGGCACAAAGACATCAGTCAGATGACAGTGAGGAGTGGGAGGAGACAGGAGAGGTCAAAAAAAAGCATGGAAGCTAGAGGCAAGCTGTGATCTTCATGAAATGTAAATAGGAGCATATCATCTCCAATTAAAACCGTGGAGGGGGCCAGGTATAGTGGTGCGTGCCTATATTCCCAGCACTTTCGAGGCTGAGGCAAGGGGACTGCCGTGAGTTCAAGGCCAGACTGGGCTCCACAAGGACTCCAAGGCCACTGAGATACATAGCATAACCCTGCCTCAAAAAAAAAAAAAAAAAAAAAAAAAAAGTTGGAAGGGTTTCCTTTCGTGCTTAGAATAAAACCCAAACTCCTTGCTCCCTGTGTTACAGTGCCCCCATCCTAACTTCCATTCTCATGCCTTGACCCCTGTGTGCTTTGCCTCACTTCCAGTGGCCCCCTTTGCCTCCTGACATGAGCTGAGCCCTGCCATTGCTCCATTTGAGGATGGGTGGATTCTTCATTGTGAGGTCTTCTCTGCGCATTGGGAGATGAAGGGCTGTAGAGCTGCTGGCCTTCCCTTGTTGGTCCGTGTTGTCTTTCAGATCTCAGCCTTCACTTCACGCTTAGCGAGGCCTTTACAGTGCACAGCAAAGCACGGCCACCGGTCCCTGCTGGCCTTCGAAATGGTGCCACCTGGCACCCTCTAATGGTGTGCGCGCATGTGCACACTCATGTGCATGGACACCCCTATCTCCCCAGTAGGACACATTCTGCATGAGAACAAAAACGGACTCTATGTCTCTGTGTTCTCCATCCACACTTCGAACAGAATCCCTAGCCCTGGAAAGCCCGATGCAGTGTCTGGGTCAGCAGAGGTGTCTGGTGCTGTCCCAGTCAGTTAGTGTGAAGCAGGGCCCTGTTCTTTGGCTCAGCCGCGGCCTCCACACTCCGGTGTTGGAGCACTTCTGTCAGGCCCACTTCTTTTTGAGGCAATGAATAGAAGGTCCATCAGGGATGATGAGGAAAAAAGAACCAGTTAGGCTTTCAGAAGTTGCCAACAAATTGGAGTTAACATGGAAGAGGAGTGTGGAGATCACATTGTGTCTGTGCTGCTCGCCAAGCACAGGGAAGTCCCGGTGCCTCCCCGTCTCTCTGAGTAACAGCCTGCCCTTCCATGCACCCCACATTTCCTGGGCTCCCGAGTTCATAAAGCCATCACCAGGGATGGCAAAGATCGTGGGTCCATCCTCCTTTGTGTGCCTCAGGGTCCTGAGAGTCTCTGAAAGGGACCCTGGAAGGCCTTCCTCCTGTGGAAGCTCCAGGTTGGTTGGGCCAGACTGAAGAGTGACATGGCAGCTGAGTGGGGAATTTTCCCAGATAGAAGACCAATTTGCAGCCATAGCTCCAACACCCGCTAGAACATAATATTTGTTGTACTTTGTATTGACTGCTTCAGAAAGAGTCCAAGGCAACTCATTTATACTCAGAACATTTTAAGGACTTCTGTGTTTGCTGTTTTTTTGCATCTAGTGAAAGAGGAATAACCTCCTAAATTGTGAACTAGTGTACAGGGGACAGTGGGACATTAAAACTCCTCCTTTAGTCAGGCCTGACCACATAGGAAGTAGCAGGCAGTATACGAGTATGATCCTGCATCAAGATCATTCTTTCTTTTTTTAAATGTATTTAGAACAGAGTCTGCAGGGTCTCACTACACAGATTGGACTCGTAGTGATCCTCCTGTTTTCAGCCTCCCAAGCACTGGGATTATAAGCTTGTGCCACCACGCCATCTCAGTGACCATCTCAGTGTCCCCTGGGACAAGGCCAGCATGGAGAGCGGGGGATCGAACCCTAGTCCCTGCACCTGCCTAAGCAGGTGCTTTAGTCCATTGAGCTATCTGGCCAGCCTGAATATCATTCATGTTTTGATCATCATAATCTGGGAGTCATGACATCCTTAAGTCAAATTTTAGATATTCTGGTCAACATGTTAAAAAAGGAAAAGAAGAAAACTCAAGATGCTCTCCACCTGTCTAGCATGGATAGAGGTGAAACGAGACCCTCGCAAGGCTTGCCCTTCCCACCTGGGAACCCACAGGAAGGGCAGAGGATGTCCCTGTCCTCAGTTCCAGTGCAGGCCCAGGACCTCGGCACTTCCGGGTACAGATCCCATTCGCTGCACCGGAAAACAGGTCAGTGCACTAAATGTTAAGTACATCTCATTGTCATAGATTCCAGCAGCACATCCTCTAGTTTTACATGAACACAGGAGGAAGGCACTCACAATTATTTGTCAGAATTATTTTAAGTTATATAGCAGTTTTTCAAATGAGGGCCTCAGTTGAGGCGAACCAAATATGAATTTTCACAACATCCCCAGGTGGCAGTAGACAGGTCCAGGAAAAGAGCAGAAGAGTTTGCTCTGAGAAAAAGGGACAAGAAACCTTCCTCCGACTGGAAGGGAAGTGTGAAGTCAATTGGTGAGCCACTCATTTGATGGTGCCGCGTTCATTTCTAAAGCCAAGTGAGTTGCCTACAGCAAAAGGATTGAAAAATACTATCCCCCCCTTGAAGGCTGATGAATCATCACAGCTTTGCTGGGTCACAGGATTTGACTGGGTCAGGCCCACCCAGTACCACCGCTGCTGCGGACCTCGTGCCTCGTTAGGTCACGTGGCCTGATGCGCGGTCCCATGACTACGGCCTGCTCTTGTCCCTGGTGAACCAGCATGGGCTGTGTGGGAGCCAAGGGGTGAGGAGCTCCCCACTGTGGCGACACACATTGACATTTTCCATGTAAGTGCTTGTCGGGGTGGACCACATGATGTGCCTGGCTTTCCAAAGGGCTGGCCTGGGAATGTCTAAAGGGCACGGGACTCAGTCAGGAGCACATGTCTTAGCTTACAGAGACCATGCTGAGAAGCAAGGAGGTACTTTCTGCGACATCATATTCCTGTACCTTCAACAACAGAAGAGAATAAATTTAAAATCCCAGAAAAACAAAAGTGCTCTGTTGCCCTTTCTCATGGTGGCAGCAGACAGTAAACCTCACTGGCTCTTCCTTATGGGTATAGCGTTGCTGTCCTCACTGTGGAGAGCAGCTGTGGGGGACAAATGAGGAGCAATCTGGGTTGGAGAATCCTGTAGCCACTCAGTTATTCCTCCCTTAATCTCAGACATTTGCTGAGTGCATCATCAGTTCTGGGCACAGTGCCAATTACTGTCATGACGGCCCCAACTCACACAGCTGTCACCTACACCAGATACCCTGCTAAGTTCTGCACTTGAGCTACCTCACTTACACCTTACCTTTGAGATAAGTCTGTGTTCTGTCTTTATACTGAAGAAGACAGCGTATGTGGACGAACACAATCCCTGACCTCAGAGTATCCGGCGAACGACAAAGAAAAGAGTCACCAAACAATTGATTGCAAAATCATACCACCTTATCATCGAGGAAGCGCATGCCAAGGAGGCCCCACTTCCAGCCAAGACCAGAAAGAGCATAGTTGGGGGCATGGGGACCGGTGTGAGGGAAGGGATCTTGGCAGCAGAGGGAATCAGCTGCTCGCAGAGCTCTCAGGGCCTTGGTGGTGGAAATAAGCCTTCCAGGAAGTGAAGAGACCCACGTGGTTGGCATCTGGGCAGCCAGGTTGGTGATGACACCAGGGCCTCTGGCCAGCTAGCAGGCAGGGTGGAGTCCAGGCTCAAGGGTGGGGACGATGAGAGAGGTGAGTGAACAAGGCTCGGTGGCTCATAATAGATGCAGGGTGAGACTGACCCCACGTCTGCCGCAGCTGGTGGGCTCTTCCCAGAGGGGGGACGCAAGTGTCCCCCATGGCCCCACGGCACGTGGCACTTTCGGATCTTGGATACCAGCACCCTAGAGTACTGCGTTTTGGCATGTGAGGACTTGAATGCAAGGGTGTTGGAAGGGCATCCGACCCAAACTCTAACCTTCTCCCGCCCTTCTTTCTCTTGTTCCACTGTCTTTCTTTCTTTTTTAAAGATTAACAATGATTTTATTTGTATTTATCAGAGAACACATCACTTTGACTCACAAAAGACCAACTATACAAAATGTACATTTTGTGGGAAAAAAATATATATATATATATTTTTTTTAACTTTTTAAAGTTTCTACTAGGAGAAGATATCACACGATGTCTTTTAAATGAATTGTAAGTCAGAGATATAGTATAAATCTTAGAACAAAAGTTGAGATTAAGCAATATTCAGAAAATTAAATACTAATTAATTGAAAATTAAATGTTTCAAAACAATTGAACTAAGAAAAAGTTTTCATGATAGCAAAGAAGTACTAAGAGTAAAACATAAGATAAATACTGGAATGGCAAATAAATGACCAGCATTTCTAACCATTTGAGGATAGGATATCGCACAAAGTTCTAGTGTGTTGTGGACATGCATAGTGACCGTGACAGTTACTGGTGGCCAGGTGTCACTTGTGGGACTGAGCTACAGCTATTTCTTTGAAATCTACCCTGTAGACTCAGGTGGAAACATGACCCATAGGGTGGGAGAAAAGTCCATTTGTAGAGTGTGCTGATGGAAATATTTTGCTGAACACAAAAGACTAACTGAAAGACTACTATTGTATACCTCTTATTCTCCTGTGTTTAATTGTTTGCCCCATTTGGTGGGTTCTTTCCATTCTCATTCATGGGGCTGTGAACAATTTGCTCCCTCTCTAGAACAACATTTAGTAGTCTGTGTAGGCTTGGCTTTGTCATCATGAAATTCTTTAGTTGTTCTTTGTCATGGAAGTATTTCACTTCTCCATTATACTTGAAAGAGAGTTTTGCAGGATAGATCAGTCTGGGTTGGAATTTGTTTTCTTGCAAAACTTGAAGTACTTTGCTCCATGCTCTTCTTGACTTGATGGTTTGTGAAGAGAAATCTGCCCCTATTCTGATGGGTTTTCGTTTAAATGTGATCTGTTTCTTTGCTTTAGCAGCTTTTAGTATACTGTTCCTATGCTGAATTTCTGGGATCTTGATTATTATATGTCTGGGTGTGGTTTTAATTGGGTTGATGTTATTTGGAGTTCTATATGCTTCGGTTTCCTGAATGTCAGATTGTTGCCCCATATTTGGAAAGTTTTCTGCTATTGCTTCTGCCCATATTCCTTTTATATCATTTGTATTGACTCCTTCCTTCTCATTGATGCCTATTAGGGGCTGGGGAGATGGCTCAGTAGGATAAGCGCTTGACTGGCAAATACAAGGATCTGAGTTCAATTCCCGGTTCTGCCAAAAAAAAAAAAAAAAAAAGAAAGAAAGAAATCAGACTCATTGATGCCTATTAGTCTCACATTGTTCATCTTTGCATCATCTTGCAGGTATTGAATTATTTTTTCCTGTATCCTAGTTGTTTTTGAGAAATCTTTCCTTACTTTTTCACTAGCTGCAATGGTGTCTTTAAGGTCAGAAAGTCTATTTTCCCTTTCACTCAAATGGTTTTGCCAGCTTATGATTGAGGTTTTAATCTCTGGTGTATCACTTTGAATCTGTTTCATACATTATATTTCTTTCCTATATTGCTTATTCAGAGGTTTCATCATTTTTATATTCTGCTCTATTTTTTATCAGTATATTCTTTGGAAGCACTTAGTACTTCTTTGATTATAGTTATTACTACATTTTTTAGTTCAGAAATTATTTCTGATCTAATTTCTTCCATACCTTTCTGCAGTTGTTTCTTTACTTCCAACACTATTATTTCAGAGATATCAGGTATGTGATTTCCAGTTTCCTCAGTACTAGTGTCTTCTGTAATTGTACTGGGTGGACTCAGGGCCTGAGACTGCATTTTGTTCCTTCCCTTTGTCATTTTGTATACCACTGTCTTCTGACCTTTGGTGTAGAGCTTAGATAGAGTTATTACCTTAGCACCAGGTCTGGATCTGTGAAGTTCAGATTCCTCCAGGTGGGTGTTGTTTGGATCTGGCTGCTGTGCTCCACTTCTTTCTGCTGCATCCCTTAGAGTTGAACCCTTTGTGCCTCTCTGGCAAGATGTTCTGCTCCTGAATCAGCTTGGTGGGTCTTGCCTCTAGCCTCTTTGCAGAGAGTTCTGCTGAAGGGTTCCACACCAGGCCTGCAGTCTGGGTCTATTCAGGATCCGGCGGCCCTGGGTACTATCACTCGCGCACTGGGACTGCGCTCCTGGTCTATTCAGGATCCCTGGGCCTGAGCGGTCTCATTCACACGCTGGCCCTACCTCTGGGTCTCTTGGTCTACTTTCTTCCACAAGACAGGTCACAGAAACTAGATCCTCTAGTTTCTCCTAGATCAACCCTAAAACCTAGAAATTACTCCACCCTGCCCCCACCTTCCTATGACTGGCTGATAAGAAGTTCTCAGACCTGCTGTGTCTGATCATGGTCACAAGCTCTCATTCCAGGAGTCCCTCGCCACCCCTGGGAGGAAGGGAGGCCACACAGAGATGCAGGAAGAATCCGAACAGAGCAGCCTTCTGGGCTGCCCGGCTCAAGGCTGGAACATCAGCGCCACCTCTTCTCCCAGTCTGATTTCCCCATGGCTGTCCTCCTCCCTGAGCAAAAAAATACTCTTGTCCCTGGGTCTTGGGGTCTTCCTTTTGAAAGCTCCTGTGTCACATAAAACTTGGATGCCATAAAACTGCCATGCTTTTCTTTTTCTGGCCTGCTTTTTGTTCTAGGGTTGTTGGTCATGATGCTGCGATAGGTGAGCAAAGGTCCGGAACTTTCTGCCCCTGCACTGCTGCGTGGGGGTCACAGGCAGCACCGGAGCACGATCCCCACAGCAGGTGACAGAAGGAAGGCACTGCTTCCTGCCCTTGCCAAGGACACGCATTTTGTCCTGTGCAGAACGGACCTGCAGGGCAACCCTCGGCCTCGCGGCACGCCACGTCCTTGCTCTTTCTATGTCTCCGGGCCCACGCCCTCTCCCTTCCCATAATTCCTCTTCCCCACAGCGACTCATCATCCGGCTCTTCCCTTATAATTACAGCCCGCATCCGCAGTCTCTGTTTTCCTCCCTTGATAGTGCTATCAAGACAGCCGACAGTTTGCTTTGGAGAGTGAATTAAGTTTACTTGAACAGAAAATTGCTGAAAAAATAATGGAAATTGTTTGTAAAGTCCAAGTACAAATGAGGTAAAAGTTTTGGAGATGAGCCTCCTCTTTGAAAGG